CACTGAAAGTTTTGCAGTTAACTATTTACTGTCGTACTCCTTTTACTTTAAAATATTTGTACTAATAATTATAGGAATAATAATATATGGAATATATAGGAGGAAAAATACAAGAAATATTATAATACCATCCTCCATTCCTATGTCCTCACTATAAGTAATAGCGGGCATATTTATAATGAAAAGAAAATATATATATTGTATAAATAAATAAAATGTATAGGTATATAGTGTGGATATAAGAACATGTACACACTGTGTGGATATAAGAACCTCATAGAGTTCTTACGTTAAACATTATGTCCTATCGAATTATAATTGTAACACTATTAGTGGGTAGAATTATAATATTATTATATTATATTCGATTTATGTCATATTATATGATATTATTGTATTATTATTATTTATTTATGTATGTAAAACTTCGGGCTTCATGGAACATGAGCCCTAGTTTTAGGGGGGTGGTGTTGTGGCTCCACCACTTTATTAAATATTAATTTATTAAATATTTATCTCTGCGAATATATGTTTATAATTGATAGGGACATCCGTATGCGGATGTCCCCTTGTTTTTTTTGTATGACTATTTTGCAGCAATAGTCAGTCTAGTGTTGACAGTCTACCATTATAGAACTAACATTATAATTGTAAAGCATATTCTTATTTTGAAATGTTATTATGAAAGTTTACTTTATATCTATATACACATTTATATTAATTGTTATATTTCTCTTGTAACGTGATATTTTTCATATAATATATATTACTATTTATAACCAGTATTTCTATCGAAATTGTTAAATTTATTTCTTTATAAATAATCACTATTTCCTATACACATCTTGGAGGACTCTGTGCGGATAGCTCAATAGGGAATCCAGACGGTAACCCGAACAACAAATAAATATTAAAATTTCCTCAGGCGAGCCTTACAGGTCCGCCACACTTGTAAACGGACAATGCTAGAATTGATAAATTAGCAATCCCAAACTATAATGATGATGTTTGCAATTAATATTCATAGGTGTTTATTAGTTAAATAAAAATAGACAAATAAAGCGTAGAAAATAATTAAGTTATGAGTAAAAAATAATAATAATAATAAAGAGTTCTGAATTTTATAATTAAAAATTAATTAATTCATTTTTAATTATTTAATAAATGGAAGGTCTTATGTATCGAGCGACTTGTGTAATTAATTTTTGGACATTGGTCGACAATCGATATAAAAACGTTTTATGGTAAATTTTTAAAAAATAATTTATTAATACATTACATTGAAGAAAATTTGACAACTTGCTTTTCTTCATAGATATGCCTATGTTTGATAAGATTTAAATTTAAGTTACATATTCGTTTATGTTTAAGTGATCTGATTTCTGAACACGCTAGTCTTATATTAAGTTTTTTGAAAAATTATATTTTCAAATTCTAAATTCAATATTACATATTTAAGTAGTAACAGTAGGAATAGTGAAATTGACCTCCAATAGTATTAATAATAGGTGTCGATATTTTAAATTCAAGTAAATACTTAAAAAAAGTGCAGTTGAATACCTGAAGAGTTATTGTAAATAAACCGAAGCATGAACGTAGCTGAAATGGAGCAAGTATATTAGTTATGGCAGTAACAAAAAATAGAATGATGCATTGAACAACTATAGAAGCTTCTCCGTATGAAAAACTCATTGGATAACAATATACTATCCATTCAAGTAGCTTATGATAAGTTAGAGCACGAAATGCTCCACAACTCACATTATACACAACACCTATAAATTCGATTAATATAAATATAAATATAAACTCGATTAATTAAACAACATTGAAGNATAAATATAAACTCGATTAATTAAACAATATTGAAGATATAAGAAAAATACTTTTACCTAAACTAGTGTACAATGTCAAAAGTTGAGCTACGATGGAAGTAGTTACAATATAACTTAATGCAATAACTACACGCATAAAAAGGGTTTTGCAGGACATCGAAGACAATTTATTACATTAGTTGAAGCACTAATAAGAAGGCCAAAACTCACAATGCAAGAAATAGTACATGACTCTGAATTGGTTTTGAACTTAAAATAACCAATTATTATAGCACAAGGCAATAGAAAAATCAGCCACACTCCATGAGAAGCATTGCGCCTAAAAAATTATTTCAATATTAAAAGTTTGGATTTGTTAAAATCCTTCTAACCTAATTATAATTATTTGAATACCTAGTTTTTTATAAAATGTTATGAGGAGAGAAGTATCAGAAGCTGTAAGAACAATTATAGAAATGAATGTTGAAGGAAGAAGAGGTAGAGGAAGACCAAAAAAGAGATGGAGGGATGCTAATGAATGCAATTTAAGGNGCTGTAAGAACAATTATAGAAATAAATGTTGAAGGAAGAAGAGGTAGAGGAAGACCAAAAAAGAGATGGAGGGATGCTATTGAATGCGATTTAAGGACAGCTGATGTGGGATATCGTGTCAAGTGGAAGTTTAGGATAAGGGTGGCCGACTCTAAGTAGTTGGGATTTAGGCGAGGAACAAGAAGAAGAGTTTTTTATAAAATGCTTGTTTATATACTAATATAGTAATTAATTATAATACATGTCTATAATCAAGAAATAGTCAATAAAATTATCTAGGTAGTTTCTGAATAGAATAAAATTTACCATTAAAATTAGATTGTTAATTCAGTCAATAAATATAACTTTTTGTATCTTACTTCGTTCTTTTACAGAGTTAGATTCGTAAAAAATTGTATTTGTAAAAACTAAAATAATAATAATAATAATAATAATAAAATAATTGTACTCCATTGTTTTGTATACTTGATCTAATTATTTAACTTTTTTTTATCATTTTAATTTTTGTGTCTAAATAAAAAGGGTTCAAGCCATAGGTAGAAATAGAATACAAATTTTGGGTTAAACACTCCAATTCCCCAGCCATTTCCACAGTGGTTTGATCTATAATAATAATACTATACAAATTATAAAATTAAAGTTGTAAAAAGGTAAAAATGTACTTAATAATTTTTAAGTACATTCCTTTTATTTTCGATTACAATCTGATAAAAAAAAAATAAACAGCAACATTTCTGAAAATAAGCTTCCCGTTAATAAGAACCGTTAACGGAGGTTAATACACCACAAAATTTAAGAGAAATTGTATTTGCACATTATTACAAAACTAAAGAAACCGCGTATGTTCCTTTTATTTTTTTAAAACCTTGTCAACATTTTGGTTAAATTTACATCCATAATGAGAAATATTTTAAAAATAATGATGTTTTTATTTTCTGATCAATTATAATTTAGTAAACAACTATCCTAACATATTTTCACAATTTCCATAATACATAACCTAATTGGTTAGTATTTTTATTACTAACTAATAATCTCAGAATAATACATTTTCCACCTAACTTAGCCACAATTATTATCAATTAAAAATACCAAAAACCAAGATCAACTATTGAAAAATTTAACTGAGCCATACTAGATTTAAGTTTTTATAAAAATATATATGTTCGTTAAAGATAAGCTTTAAACTACAAACAAGTGAAAAATTGTACATTAAAATAACATAAATTATTAGTTTTTGAAAAATACTACAATAAAAATTTATTCTTAAAAATAAAGTATCATATAGTAGTGTAAGATTAATAAAATAAATATTATTTCTAAAATATTACTCAACTATAACTACAAGAGCCATAGTAGGTAACAAATAGGTTTTTTTTCAGTTAAAATATGTAATTTACAATAAATAAGTGTTGAAATATATAAATTCTACCAATTTTTTAAATTATAATAAAATACATTTTTTATCAACAAATTATTTATTAGGGTCTCCAAAACGATCCATCGTCTTTACCTGAGCTGTTAAATCAATTTGAACTTTCTTTCGTAAATAAAATATAGGACAATCTCGACTAGTGCATATAACTTCTTCGTGTAAACTTCCTTGACACCTCTGACATTCGGTCCATAAACGACAAAATTTTTCTTGAAGTTCATTAACTTTAATACGTTCTTTATAGTAAAGTTCTTCTTGTTTAGGTAAGTAATATTTACATAAAGCGTTTTTTCTTCACCATTAGGTAAGACACTCTTACATCCTAAACAAACTTCTTTCTTTTTTGTAAATGCAGATAAAGCACTAACTTTAGATGTCACCATTGCTTTTTTGCGTGTATGATCACCTTTTAATAATACTGATTCAGCCTTGTCCCCCAATATTGGAGAAAAAATTCGAACTAGAGGCTTAGATAGTTGATTTTCTAAATAATAGTTAAAATCAATGGGTATGTTATTTTCTAATACAAAAATTGGATCTTCTGCACGTTGATATGCTGGTATACCTTTGGTACCTGTAATTAAAACGTAAGGTATTCGGTCACCTAATTTTGGTGCATTACCAGGATCTCTTTTCTTCATTTTCAACGACAATTCAACATGAGCCTGTTTAGCTGCATAATCAGATTTTGTTAACTCTTTGGTAATAACAAGCTGAGAAATATCAATACGATTACATAATAAATCACCTATGACTTCTTTAGCATATGCAACTGCACCATCAGGGTCCCTATCAATTAGTAATTTTTGTAAACAAGTGTTTATCATATTAGCAACAAGAGGAGAATTGTCTCTTCGTACTGTTTCTAATCCTTTACAATCCATCTTATCATACTTATCTGGTCTTGTAAAATAAAGACCAGCATAACGTTTTTTGTTAATAAGTAAATAGGGAAAATAAACTTTTTCAAAGTCTAATTTGATCGGTTTTATGAATTTTGTTGTCACATATTCAGCTGCTTCACGACCAAGTTCCATTGCTTTTTCAATTGACTTTACTCCAAATTTGACCATTACAGAATCTGTATCTCCATAAATAACAACAGCATCATGTTCATATCCATTTTTAATACAATACTTTTGTTCTACCTCTTGTTTTGTTTTTTCAATCATAGTTCGTCCATAAGAAGTAACACTAGTTTAAATTTCCAAACACGGTAGCTTTCCTACCTGTGCACCAGTAAAACCATAAACAGAATTAGCACTTATTTTTAATGCTAATTGTCTTCCATCCAACACTTTTTGTTTAAAAGGATCAGTCTCTGATTTCAAATCTGCTTTGGCTTTTTTACGAGCTGATAGCAAGTTTTCTAAAATTTCAGGCAAAAGACCTTTGCGTTTCAAATTAGATAAAAAGTAACTTCCAGATGGAGTTTTTTTATAATTACTTTCAAATAAATTTAAAGTTTGTATGGTTTTTTGATTTAACAAAGTAGTATAGCATAGGTTGTGAGCCATCATGATACTTGGATATAGAGAAGTAAAATCTAATGTACCTATAGGATCTGCATAATAACCTTTAATTGGCTCAATAACTGTTGCTCCTTCAAACTGTTCATCCTGCATTCCACTGGACATAGCTGGCATAATATATCCTTTATCCTTAGCGAGATGGAGCAACTGAGATACCACTTTAGCTTGTTTAACCAGTTAGTAAACTATCTAATGGAACACCCGTAACTCTAGCCATTTCCATATAGTTAATTAAACACATTAATTTATCCAATAATTTTAATGGAAGAAAAGCATCTTTTAAACAATATACTGCTAAACGACGTCTTGTTTGAGGTGTACCATTTTGTAAATCTGTAATGATACTATGATGAACATCTTCTTTTTGTTCTTGTAAAAAGTGATAACTTACAGAGTTTAAGGTGTAAGACCGTAGTTTGTAGTCTCGCACTAATACCAAGTATAAATCAAAGGGAACTCTTCCATCAATATTAACATTTTTGTTTTCTCTACGACCCATTTGTTTACTTTGTATCACATGTTCTTTCACAACAGATTGTATATTTTTAATACGACCCAAGAAATTGAAATTTTTAGTATGTAAATGTTTAGCTCTATTAATTAAATATGGTAAATCAAAGTTATTAATATTATAACCTGTAATTACATCTGGATCACAATCTCGTACAAATGCAGCCCATTTCTCAAGCATTAAGTTTTCTTTTTCGTAGCTAATTACATGACTACCAACAATTGGTGCACAAGTATCTAAAGTAAATACATTTCTTATTAACCTTTTGTTTTCAACTTGTACCATGTTAGCTATTTGAATAACAGGATCTTTGTCTGGTTCTGGAAAAATACCTTTACGACCAGCACATTCGATATCAAAACTAAGAATGCGAAAGGGAGCTACTTTGCTCCATTCGCCTTCAGGAATATGAGTTATCATTTGTTGCCAACCAACATCAACTTCAATTTGACACCTAGAATGCGGTTTTAAATTAAAAGAATTATTACGTATTGTATATGATTCCTTTGGTAATTCAATCCAACTACAGCCAACAATTTTTAAATCAACCATAAATCGCATATCATAGTCAATATTAGATTCAAACATTCTATAATTATGTCCAGAAAATATAGGAAAAACCTGTTCTTTTTCTAAAAGTCGTTTAGCAGCAGCAATAAGTTTTGGTAATGCCATAGTTATTTTTAAATAAGTTTCATCATCTTCACCATGATATCCATACATATTTTTTTTTTTAACAATTTCAACCATAAGTACAGTTTCTTGAACTCGATTTTGATTTCCTCGCATGTCATTTAAAACTATAGCATTCAAGCGATTTTTGAAATCTTTACAGTGTTGTGGCCCAAAACCACCAGGAGCAGTAGTATAAAAATATGGCGAATATCCATGTACATTGCAACAAACAGAATTCCCTTCCATTGTTATACCAAACATACGAGTAAGAGAACTTGACCCATTTGAGCTCCACTCATTCCTTTTACAGGTTCTCCAATATAATAATCAATAGTAAGTTGCTGAAAAGCTAAGCTGTCTAATTTTGAATCAATTTCTCTCATTGGTGGTCTTGACCATAATGCATAAGAACCTTCTTGATCTGGTCCTTCACCGACCATTTCAGGTGATGCTTCAAATTTTTTGTCCATTTCATCCATAAGGGCAAGATCTTCTTCAAACCTTGATCTTTGAAAATCATCAACTTCATTTTCAGCTTTAAACTTTTTGTTATAAGTACCTGACGTACTAGATGAATTTGGTCTTTTCTTATTAAACATCTTTCTTGGTAATAAGTTTATTGTTTGAGTTTAATGTCTGTAATAAATAAATTCAAGAGAAAATTTTACTAAAGTAAAATGACAAAATATAATAAAATTTTCAACTACTCCAAATGATTTTTATTTAAAAAATATATGAAAACAGAAAATTACTTAATAAGTTGACCAACTTTAAAATTATATTAAAATGAAATATTATGATTTTGTATTCACTTTTCCTAAATTTGGTTAAAATGTTTTTAATATCAACTAAACTTATTAATTAAATTTTTCTTTGAAAATAACTCTAACAGTTATAAATACTTCTAACATTATTCAAATAAAATTTGTTTTAAGTTCAATGATATCATGGTTGATAAGTTTAAAATATTGAAGATTTATTTACACATAATACTTTATAAAACAATTTACTTTTCATAACTTAAGAAATGCTTAAATTCATAACCTAAATATAAATGATTGACTACATAATTTTCATTGGATTCTGTATTGTTTTTTATTAAAAATATTTACATTTATTCAGGACCTCAAACCAGATCACACACAAACTGATAGACAACTGAAAACTCTTTATTTTTATCAAAACTGAAAATCTAAAAAAACTGTTTAATACCTAAAATTACTAATTTGGATTTACCCCGAAAACAAAAATTTAAATATTATATATATACACCTTTATTATGTATAAATAATAATTACTTAAATTTGTATTTATTTTATATTAATAAATTTATTTCAGTTTGATATAACTGGNATACACCATTATTATGTATAAATAATAATTACTTAAATGTGTATTTATTTTATATTAATAAATTTAATTCAGTTTGATATGCACCCCAAAAATATGAATCTTAAAAACCAAAACCTATGTTTATAAACAGCCATAACACCAAAGAAATCAAAAACTGAAAAAAAAATGTTGTTTTGAGGCCCTGCATTAATTAAAATACTTATATATAAACAATTATTTTTAATTAAACAAATATATAAAAATAAATAGCTAAATATTNACAATTATTTTTAATTAAACAAATATATAAAAATAAATAGCTAAATATTCTATATTCACAGATATTTTTTTACCATAATTCAAATTAAAATGTTTAACAATATTATACTGAGATAAGTATACAGTAAGTATATTCATTTTATAAGATCATAAAAACTATGTTTTTAAAACAATAGAATCAAAAACAAAGATTTTAGAGTTATAGAGAGTACTTTATTATTAGTAATATATTAATAAAATAAAAATTGTAATAATAAAAATACTGAGTGCATAATTGATTAACAAAATATAAATAAATATCTTTAGATTAAAATACTCATTAGAAAAATGTATTTAAGAATTCTTCTGTGATTTGAAATGAAACAATTTTAGAAATAAACTCCTAATGTATTTTTTTTATAGATCCCATATGAAATTGTTAAAAAAAAATACAATTTGCTTTATTTTGGGCAACTTTTGCACAAATGCAACTCAAGTTAAATAAGAAAAATTAAAATCTTTTAGGCACACTTATGATGCATACATTAACCAAATTCATATTTTTATTCTGTACTAATTTTTTGTTAAACTCTTAAATACACAAAATTCTTTACCAATATTTCATATATTAAATAATAATTATAGTAAAATTATAACATGTCTATTACTTAAAGATAAAATCAAAACTATAAGTGACTTACAAAAAAAAAAGCAAAAAATCTAATGAGTTAACCAAACAACAAAAAATGTTTCATATTCTTTAAGAAGTCTTATAAAAATATATTTAACATTTTATTGTTGTTTAAGTTAAAAATACTAATAATAAATTTGTAAAAAAGACAATATATGAACTATGAACTATGATTTAATTTATTCTAATTTTAATTTTCTATTATGATAATATTTTACTTTTAATATATTAGGAGGATATGATGATTCATTTACACAAGCAACTTTGATCAAATATTGGGAAGGTTAAATACACTATCATAAATAATAATCCCTTTAAATAGAATTAAATACTAATATTTTAATCAATATTTAGGGGATTTTTCTTCTAACTTTCTTCCTCTAATTTCTTTTAAACTAGTTAGAAATAATTATTTTTCTAACCTGTATTGCAATTGTTTAGACAGTGCCACTGATTGAATATTTTCACTGACAAATGTGTTAAAATGATTTGTTAACATGGCACAATTCGTAAAAAATTGATCATTAGTAAATGATTAAATTCTGAAAAATAAAATATTTCACTTTATTAATCAATAGATCATTGAACTAAATAAATATAAATTGCCATAGGTATATATTCAAATTACACATTTAAAACATATTTGTACAATAACAGTTGATATCATAACTGCTGTATTTATTGATCATAAAACGAATAATTTTTAATATATCTAAATATTTTTTTTAAGAATTTACAAAATAATCCCAGAACATTAATGTGAGATATAACGTGCATACCTAGTCCTTCTTGAATAACAACACTAACACACACGATAAAAAATTTAAGCAATAGTCGACAATTAAAAGAATAAGAGAATAAGTCGCTCACAATTAAACTACTACGTATTAAATTACATAAAAGCTACTCCAGCGGCATATAAACACTAATAAATAATCAATAAGGAACACCTACAGGTGTAAAAAAAAGTTGGATTAATCAGAAAATAATTAAAATTACTAGCTACATTAATATTATATTAAAAAAGGATAAAAGATCATGTTAAACAACACGCAATCAAAGTATTATGTATTCAATCAAAAAGAATACATCGATACTTAATTTTTACAGCTTAATAATCAAAAAAAAACAATTCGTAACAAAATAACCTTCAAAATAGCGGGAAACGTTAGATAACAATTATACGATAATTCATGGATGAAAAGATTGGATAAGTACACCATTCATAAAATTGTTATCAATTAATTTTAATCAATTATTAATTAAATTTTAAATTTTAAATAAGCTCTTAAAATTTCATGTCAATACTTTTTCATATCATTTTTATTAAATGCTCTATACTATTAAATTTTTGATAAAACATTTTATCAACAACCCATTTCTAGAGTGTTCAGTAAGTAAGGAAACGGGTATCTATTTTTCTCATTGTTTGTAACAATTTACTTGTTTCCTTACTTTCTGAACATTATGTAATATTAATTTGAACATATGTAAACTCCCTTAAAAATTATATTGATTGTATACACATGTTTTTTCAAATTGATGAAGTTAAAAAAATTACATTTTAATAGCATAATAATGAGAAACGGCTTTAATAAATTCAAACTTAAGAATAATTTTTTCTATATAATTTTTTATTAGTTCATTTAAAAATAAATGTTGCCTCCGAGATTTAGTATTTTGAAGTGTATAAGGCTAAATACTCTGTAGTTTGATATATATTTCTATTTGAATATTTCTAATAGCATCTATAAATACGAAAACTACCGAACAACGAAGATTGTATTTAAAGATTAACTGATTAACACTAAGTTTTTAAAGTTTAATTACTTAATAATTAAATTATTAAATTATTTGTAAAATTAATGCTCTCAGCTTCGAATCGAAGCTAATAATATGTATTATTAAGAGTAAAATTTATAAATTACCGATTTTTTTTTATGTGATCATTAAAATCCACCAAAAAATAGCTTAATCCATTTTTAGCTTGGTAACAATTAAGGAGACCTAGTGTTAGTCATTAAATTGTTGCCCCCCATGTAAAAAATAGTTCCGGTGCCCCTGATACTATGATGTGCTATTTATATACTTCAAAAATGTTTAATTCTATTAGTTTGAAATAGCTTTAAGCTTAGGAAAATTAATGTGGATATATTAGAAAAACAAATTATATACTATTGAACTTACAAATAATTATTATGGTGAGATCAACTTGTAGTTTAATAAAAAATATATTAGAAAAAAGTTTTACACAACATTTAATTTTTTGCTTAATTAAAAATCCTTAAATGAAAATGAAAATAAATTATTACTAACTTGATGGTTGTTTATAATCACAGTTGATTTTTAAGCAATAAATATCATACGCAATGTACAGTTTAATGATTAAATTAAATCTACAGAGTGTTCAGTAAGTCATTACAAACAATGAGAACAATAGAAACCCGTTTCCTGACTTACTGAACACTCTGTATAGTTACTGTGATAAAAAATATTGAAGAGATATAATGTAAAATGTTTGGGCATGTATTATATTATTATTATTATTGTTACACAAAATGTTCAAAAAGTAAGAAAATAGGTCAATTGTTACAAACAATGAGAATAATAGAAACCGGTTTTCTTACTTACTAAACATCTTCTATATGGAAATTGGTGTACAAAATATGTCAAAATCGGTCGTCAAATAGGTAAAAATTTAAATAAGTTCACTAGATAAATGGAGATCATTTTGGTCGTTTTTTCATAGAAACTTCTTTGTAGAGTTATTTTAAGATAATTTGATATTTCTTGATGGGTTATCAGGTAATGTATCAAAATTATTTGTGTCATTAACATAGTGTATAATTCGGCATTATTCAATAATCGATCTAGTTCGTCTGTATTAATTGTTTTAGAAAAGTAAGAGTTTATTATTTCTTGCGGAATTCTTTTGATCGACACTACTGGATCTATAAATCCGACAAATATAAATTAATTTTTTGATAACAATTACATTAAATAAATAATTTGTATTTCTATAAAATAAACGAAGCTTACACATGTATTTAAATATTTCATATGGTTTATCCAAATCATTGGGAGTTTATCCAAAAATTAATTTTATTTACATTAATGTAAATTAGTAAAATTAAAATGTTACATTTTAATCTAATTTAAATCATTTTGATACGTATTACTTTATCAGTACTTAAGAATTCGGGCGTTTCATATAGGCAACTTAATTGTCAAGGTTTTGCGAAAGTGACACAACAACGCGCACTATATTAGCTAATTGCATACAATTCTGAAACGATACCAGGGATTCAGGAGAAGTGCAATGTGGTGTCCAATTTAATGTTCGAAGTCCGGTGAATTAAAAAAAAAAATTGAAAAAAACGATAGCACAGTGGGGTTGCGGCACAGTATGGACGTGGCATAGTTAGGACAACTATAGATGATATCTGACAGTGATTAAAATCACTATCATAAGAAACGCATCAATACAAATCTGTAGATAGTGTTTCATTTTAAGAAATTGGTACATTATTTCAAAAACAACAATAACACTTATTCCCTTTATTTTATCTTGATTTATAATTATAATATATGAATACATAATAATTACAGTAATTAAATTTAGTATGAAATTTATATTCAATAATATAATATTGTAATTTTTACAGAGATATTATAAAAATAAAAAAGAGTTGTATATTCATATACTTTTAATGCATATAAAAATTTAAAGGGATTGATGCAATACTTTTTAATAAAAAAATTTTGTTACTTATAAATAAATACACTAGACTAAAAGGAACTTTCATCAGAAACAAAAATATACTTTTCTAAATCAACTTTTCACGATGTTTTCAAATGTGCAATTAAACTTTTTCTATTACTTCTAAGTTTTAATAGTATTACTTATTATTAAAAAATAAGTATTTAAATATAAAAAAATATATATTTTAATTTAATACTGACTTTGATTATTTATATGTTAAAAATAAGAAAAATGACATATTTAACCTATTTTTTTAATTCTTTAAAGTTGATTTTTTTGAAAGCTTATAATTAAAAAATATATATATATATATCTATAACTTCTTATAGCTCAATTTGCAAGTTTGATATTGATGATGTCAATTTATTATTATTATTATTATTATTATGTAAATAGGAAATTTTATGAGAATTAAAATAATTATATCGTTAAGAATAATATACAGTCAGGAAATTTTATAATTACTATTTACAGTATATTTATCAGAAAAACTTATTATTTTTTTGCATTTTTATTTTAATAGAACACTTAAATAGGAATCATTTCTAAGTAACTTTTGGCGTTTAAAGAGATTCTAAAATTGAAATATGAACTGAATTAATTTTAGTGATATACTTTAACTAAAAAAACTAATAAAAAAAAAAGTTGTTGAAAAGATCTACTCAATAGAGCGAATTACAAAATTTCATTATAATTGTAAAAATACATTGTTAATTCAGGAGAAACTAACAAACATTATTTTAAAAATTATTTATATAGTAACATGTTACTAAAAAATTAGGAATATTATAGTCTAGTAGTAGTACACACAAATAGAGTAAAGGAATTATTAAATTAAAAATTAAAATGAATAAAACTAGATACGAATGTTAGTCATTTGATGTATCGTTGAAAAAAGTAGGTCAAGTTAGAGCAGGAACTAGGAAATAAATGATAGTCACAAAAAAATACCTTCTCAGCTTTGCATCGAAGCTAAAACCTAAAACATTTTTTAAAATGACCAAATCAATATATATATATATATATATATATTTTTTATAGATGCTTGATATCTTTATCTATCATTTGGTATATATTTTTTTATAAATCTGACTCTTTACCTGACCACAGGAGGGATTTAAAATGACAACTTTTTCACAAAAAATTAACTTTTTCCAATTTTTGAACGTATTCCGGAAAGTCTGACACTTTGAAATATATCCTTAATTATAGCTAATGTAATATACTTACTATGGAAAAAAAAAATCGGACTCTATTTTGTCTTCATTGTGCAAACAGAAAATCAAAATTAATAAAAAAAATACGATTTTTGTAAAAAAATTCTATTTAATATTTTTAACTTTATTATACTATAACTTTTTGAAGAATGAATGGATCAATACAATTTTTTTATGAGAATTAATATTTATAATGTGGAAATATTTTTAGTATGATATGATCGTTTTTATTGTTATTACTTATTGTTATTGTATCGTCCAAAATTGATGATTAGCTTTTAAATTTTTGGGGGGTTTCAACCCCAACCCCCTCTCTACACCCATTGCGTACGCCAGTGATTCGACATCCTTTAAACTTATAACTACCTTATGTTTACTTAAATTGACTTGAATATAGGAGTATTGCAACAAAATATTTGAGAACTCTAAATACATAATTTTTTAAACTAAAAAATATTTCTATATAGCGAGAAATACAATTTCGGTATATTATAATGTATAATATTTTAGGTATATTCTATGACAGAACTTTAAAAGACTAGTCCCTCAAGTTTTTTTAAATTGTGACCAATCATAAAATCGAATCTTAACTGGACTGAATTAATTTCATTGCCCATCTTTAAACAATGAAATAGTATTAAATCATTTATTTTTGTTTGATTTCATATGAGACTAATTAGAATGACAGTTATAGAGTAAGGGATACTGAATACCTTTATAAAACATCTGTTTAATGACGAATTCTATCATCAGTGTCACGTAACTCCTATATTATTTTTACCAATTACTAAATGAGAAAAGTAGAATTAATTAAATGTTATAATAAAAGGCATTAATAAAGAGAGGCAAAAATGATTTAAAGTCCGAAAATTGGAATCGTTCTTCTTTCCTGTCCAAAAAAATAAAATTTTTTAAGGGCTCAAATCTATTATATAACAAGGGTTGTTTTAGTTTAACCCCCCCTTTCCCTTAAATACCTATCGTATCGAAAGTTGGATACTCTTCAACAGCATTTAGTGTCATAATTATTTGTTAACAGACAGTAAACAAATAAAATGTTATTTTATTATATTAATTAGTGATAAGGGTAATATTTTCCCATCGGATAATATATTGCTACAATATTCATCTACTTCGAAATTTGATAATTTTATGATTGATTTCACGAATTATCGATATTTTGAGCAATCAATTAATTGTCCTATTTCAAGTAATTATAGTCGTAGAAAAATTCAAATTTTTGTAACCAAGTATTCGTAGTAATTGTTGTCAGAGTAAATGTATTCGGGTTTTTTTACAATGTCGGAGCACTATCAGTTCGTGGTAAACCTCGTTTGCCACGAACTAATCGTTGGCAACGTTATAGTAAATATTCTATACGACCTCAACATTTATATTATATCAAACTTTTATCCTATCTATTATTGATTAGTCCTACCTTATGATGATCCAGGATTTATACGCTGACTGTTGACTTGAAACAACCTCATTATGGATGAGAGAGATAGTAAGTACAAAGTAAATGTATCTTTTAAGTTACCCTATGGTCACCTACCTAGTAAACAATGCAATTGATCATCAATGCTAAGATGGCGACTGATTAATCCACAAAATTTTGGTTATATTTTAGAAATAGTATTTCTGAAAAAAAGTAATATGGCAAAAAGTCTGATAATAAAATTAATACAAACACAGATACATTAAAGCTCAAGTTAATTTATTTTAAAATAGTATAATAATAGGCAACGTAGTTGAATATAATACAATTAATGTTATTTCACAGGAAATTAACTGGAGCACCCATTTTTCATAGCATAGTCGACTATATAAGGACAATCAGCATGAATAGCTTCATAAATGGTTCCTTTACTCCAAGGACAATCATTTTCATGGGCATATTTTAAGCACTGATATCGACCTTTTTCAGCAGCCAGTCTTGTTGTGCTATCGTCCCACTCACACCCATTTTCATGAACATATTTTAGGCAATCTAAATGACCATTTGCAGCAGCTCCACTTGTTGTTTCTTTATCCCATTTACATTTATTTTCATGAGCATATTTTAAACATTCTAATTTACCATTAGAAGCAGCTTCTTTTATTGTGCCTTCGTCCCACTCACATCCATTTTCATGAGCATACATTAAGCAATCTAAATGTCCATTTGCTGCAGCGGCTTTCGTAGTACCTTCAACCCAACCACAACCATATTCACGGGCATATTTAAGACAATTTAATTTACCATTCTCAGCTGCAGCAACTATTGTATGTTTATCCCAAATACATCCCTTCTCATTAGCATATATCAAACAATCTAAACAGCCACTTGCTGCAGCAGCTCTAGTTGTACTTTCATCCCAAACACTTCCATTTTCATAGGCATACTTTAAACAATTAAAACAGCCACTCGATGCAGCAGCACTAGTTGTGGTTTCATCCCAAACACATTTATTTTTGTGGGCGTACTCTAGACATTCAAAACAGCCACTTTCTGCAGCTGCTTTGGTTGTACTCTTATCCCAAACACATCCTTTTTCGTGGGCATACTTTAAACAGTCTAAACTACGACTTGCTGCAGCAGCACTAGTTGTGCCTTCATCCCATTTGCAACCATTTTCATGGACATATTTTAAACATTTTAGATCACCACTTTGTGCAGCCGCTTTTGCCGTCAATTCATTCCACGGACATTTTTTTTCATGAGCATATTTTAAACATTCTAAATTACTATTCAACGCAGCTGCTATTGTTGTGCTTTCATTCCACGGACATCCATTTTTATGAGCATATGTTAAACATTCCAATTGACCACTAGAAGCAGCTGCTTCTGTTGTTTCTTCATCCCATGGACATTCTTTTTCGTGAGCATATGTTAAACAATTCAAATGACCATTCGAGGCAGCTGCTATTGTTGTGCTTTCATCCCACGGACATCCATTTTCATAGGCGTACATTAGACAATCTAAATGTCCATTAGATGCAGCTGCTTCTGTTGTACTTTCATCCCACGGACATTCATTTTCATGAGCATATTTTAAACATTCTAATTTACCATTAGAAGCAGCTTCTTCTGTTGTTCTTTCATCCCACGGCCATCCATTTTCATGGGCATATTTTAAAATGTTTATACTACCTTTATAGGCAGCCATAGAAATGAATACTATTTTTAATTCCACTAAATTTTCGCAAGAATATTTGAAAATTTCTACATTATCATGATCAATAGCAATACTTGCAATTTTGATTGGATCCCATTCACAGCCATTTTCATGAGCATATTTTAAGCATTCTAAATTATCATATGATGCAGCTGCTCTTGTTGTTTCTTCACCCCATGGACATTCATTTTCATGGATATATTTTAAACAATCCAATTTATCATGAACAGCAGCTCCTGTTGCTGCGATTTCATCCAACGGGCATCCATTTTCATGAGCATATTCCAAACATTGTAATTCACCATGAACAGCAGCTTGTATTGTTGTCCTTCTATTCCACGGACATCCATTTTCATAGGCGTACATTAGACAATCTAAATGTCCATTAGAAGCAGCTGCTTCTGTTGTACTTTCATCCCACGGACATTCATTTTCATGAGCATATTTTAAACATTCTAATTTACCATTAGAAGCAGCTTCTTCTGTTGTTTCATCATCCCATTGGAATCCATTTTTATGAGCGTATTTTAAAATTTCAATACTACCATTAGAAGCAGCAAAAGTAGCAAGGAATTCTTTCATTTCTTCTAAATCATCGCAAGAATATTTTAACATTTCTAGATTATCATTTTTAATAGCACTTGATACAATTGTCTTTTTATCCCAATTACACCCATTTTTATGAGCATATATTAAACATTGTAAGTTATTATATTTTGCAGCTGCTTCTGTCGTTCTTTCATTCCATGGACATTTTTTTAAATGAGCATATTTTAAACATTCTAATTTACCATTAGCAGCAGCAGCTATTGTTGTGCTTTCATCCCACGGACATCCATTTTCACGAGCATATTTTAAACATTCTAAATTACCAGAGAAAGCGGCAGATGCTGTTGTTCTTTTATCCCATGGACATTTATTTTTATGAGCATACTCTAAACATTCTGTTTTATCATTAGAAGCAGCTGCTATTGTTGTGTATACATCCCACGGACATTTATTTTCATGAGCATATATTAAACATTTTAATTCACCATTAGAAGCAGCGGCTTCTGTTGTGCTTTTATCCCAAGGACATTTATTTTTATGAGCATATATTAAACATTCTAATTCACCATTAGAAGCAGCTGCTTTTGTTGTGCTTTCATCCCAAGGACATCCATTTTTATGAGCATATATTAAACCATTCAAGTCTCCATTGGCTGCTTCTATCGTCGTAATATTTTCATATTCTTTTATTTCATCGTCTTCCTCATATTTAATTGCTATATGAAGAAAATAGTATATTCATTGTTTATATATTAAAATTTTTAATTTTTTATCAATAAAACTTTTAATAAAATATATTAATTAATTAACATAAAAACAATTTAATTACACATTAATTATTTTTAATGTTATGAAGGAATTTAAATAATACTTATGGTCGACCTAAACTATGATTAAGTTATTTTTAAACGTCCTATAGTCATGCCTCCATTTGTTTACTAATTAAAATTTTTTATTTATATTGATAAAAAAAATTGGTAAATTAAAAAAAAAAAATATGACAATTGAAACATTTTTTTATAAAACAATTCCCCAAAAATACATCTAATATGATATTATTTTAAGTTTGTGACTATGATGAACTAGTATTTCATGCTAATAGAATTGTTTTGTATAGTACTGGTGTACAACATACTGTAAATAGCAGTGATCAAACAATTACTTAAACACATTTTTTTTCGAATAATAATTTTTCAATAATATTTTTAAATTTTTAATTAGAACAATATATTATAAGGATAATTTAAATATATTATTAAACAGCTATTATGAAGCAGGTATTGGAACAAAGCCGGTTCTTGCCCAGTAATTTTTTTAATATTTAAATTCCAAATCGGAAAAATTGATACTGCAACTATAACTAAGTTTTTTAATTATTTATTAAAAATAAAAATCAATTTATACTTGCCATTTAAAAAAAAATTTAAATATGAAATTTTAAATTAATAAATATTTTTTAAATGTATCTTTTGTTTATCATAAGTGTACTAACATATTTTAGCTTCGATGTTAATTTTACTATGATGTGTTTTTTTTTTTATGTCTGTTGCCACTTTTTCTCAGCTCTCACTGGACCGATTTCTTTCAAAAATACGTCAAAAGATCACAAATCGTATCTAGTTGAAGACATTACCCTTAAAAATTGAAAAAAATTCCCTCGTTCCCCGCAAATGGGGGAAATATCCAAAAAAATTACAAATTTAAAAATCGCTAATTTTCGAAATTTTTTCACTTTTTTTTCTTAAAACTTCCATAACTTTTTGAAAAATCAACAAATCAACATAATTTTTTTTTATACTAAAACCTTAGATATTTACCTTTCATTTGATATTATTTTTTTGAAAATCTATCACTTAACCTGCTCATTGGGGGGGATTTAAAATGGCAACTTTTTTACAAAAATTAATTTTTTCAACTTAATTTTTGAAAATGTTCCGGAAAGACTGCGTCCTTTAAACATATATCAAATTAAAGCTTATTTTATGTACTACAAAATGAAAAAAAAAAATTTGTCCCGACACTTTTTTTTCTACATTTAAACGGCTGCCGTAGTTAAAAAAACACTATTTTTGTGTTAAAATTTTCGATTTTCGATTTTAAATTTTCAACTTAAAAATGCTATAACTTTTTGAAAAATGTATATATCAGCACAAATTTTTTTTTTCTAAATACATTATAAGTACATCTTTCATTTGACATACTTTTTATTAAAATTGGACAATTTCCCCTTATATAGGGGGCGTTCAAAACTTAAAATATTGTAAAAAACATAGATCTTTTTCAACTGAACTTTTGAAAATGTTCCGGAAATACTGCGTCCTTTAAACATATATAAAATTAAAGCTTATTTTATGTACTACAAAATGAAAAAAAAAAATTTGTCCCGACGATCTATCTTCTATACGCAAATGGCTACCATATTGAAAAATATACTATTTTTGTATGATAATTATGGGTTTTGTATTTTATTTTAATAGAAGTTGATGTTGCTTTTGCAATTATCCATCAATTTTTTAAAATTAAACACTATCTACAGATTTGCATCGAAGCGTTTCTTATGATAGTGATTTTTTTTTTTAATGACATACATCATATATTAGTTTTTTTAAAATTCGCATCAAAGCTATTAATTTTATTATAAAGTGTTTTTCTTTATTTTTATTTTTTTTGGATCTGTCATAATTTTTCTCACCTTTCACTGGAAGGATTTTTCCCAACGATACCTCAAAAGATCACATATCATATCTAGTTGAAGAAATTACCCTCAAAAATTGAAAAAAAATTTCCTCGTCACCCGTGAAGGGGGAAATCCCCAAAAAAATTACAAATATTAAAAATTAGTAATTTTTGATATTTGACCTTGAAACTGCCCATGAGAGTGTATTCAAAATAACAAATTTTTCACAGTTAATTTTTTTCAACTTAACTTTCAAAAGTGTTCCGGAAAAATTGACACTTTTTTATATATCTTCAATTAAAGCTTATATGATCTACTTTCATATGAAAAAAAATTTTGATCTTTATTTTAGTTTCGATGCGAAGCTGAGAAAGTATTAATTTTACCATTATGGTTTTTTTTTAAGATCTGTTGCCACTATTTCTCAGCTCTCACAGGACCGATTTCTTTCAACAATACGTCAAAAGATCACAAATCATATCTAGTTGAAGACATTACCCTTAAAAATTGAAAATTTTTCCTCCGTTCCCCGCAAATAGGGGAATCTCCAAAAAAATTACAAATTTAATCGGTAAATTTTGTTATTTTTTTTTNCTCCAAAAAAATTACAAATTTAATCGGTAAATTTTGTCATTTTTTAAATTTTTTTTCGTTAAACTTTTATAACTTTTTCAAAAATTAACAAATCAACATAATTTTTATTATATTAAAACCTTAGGATATTTCCTTTTCATTTGATATCTTGTTTTTTTTTAATTTAACACTGACAGGGGGGATTTAAAATAGCAACTTTTTTACAAAAATTAACTTTTTCAACTTAATTTTGGAAAATGTTCCGGAAATACTGCTTCCTTTAAACATATACCAAATTAAAGTTTATTTTATGTACTGTAAAATTAAAAAAAAAATTTGTACCGACACCTTATCTTCTGCATGCAAACGGCTTAAAAAGTTAATTTTTGTAAAAAAGTTGCTATTTTAAATCCCCCCTGTCAGTGTTAAATTTAAAAAAAACAAGATATCAAATGAAAAGGAAATATCCTAAGGTTTTAATATAATAAAAATTATGTTGATTTGTTAATTTTTGAAAAAGTTATAAAAGTTTAACGAAAAAAAATTTAAAAAATGACAAAATTTACCGATTAAATTTGTAATTTTTTTGGAGATTTCCCCTATTTGCGGGGAACGAAGGAAAAATTTTCAATTTTTAAGAGTAATGTCTTCAACTAGATACGATTTGTGATCTTTTGACGTATTGTTGAAAGAAATCGGTCCTGTGAGAGCTGAGAAATAGTGGCAACAGACCTTAAAAAAAACCATAATGGTAAAATTAATACTTTCTCAGCCTCGCAATATTTTTTATAAGTATATAACACATAGTTTTTTCTTTTGAGAAGTTAACTCAGCATTCTATTTTATATAATTTGTTCATCCTCTTTTAAATAGTATCAATATATGTTGTTTAAATTGAAATGTTTAACTTGCTTAAAATATTTAGAATAATATCAGATATTGTGAATATATTGTTTTTATTATGAGGTATAGTTTGTTTAAAAATAGAATAATAAATTACAAACTATTTAATTAAATATTAAAATTATTTTCAATATTAAAATACTGAATTTGAATTTAAAAATTATATTAATTAAAAATAAATAATACAAAACTGGATATTGGCCAGTCATAATTTCATTACATAATACATTTCCCCCATTCAATAGTAAAAAAGTAATTGTAATAATGCCTTTAAGCATTGATATTAAATAATAAATGGATTGATATGTATAATTAATAAAATTTATAGACATAAATTATGTAATTTAGAAGTTACCTTCGTTAAATATCAAACTAGATATTATTAACAAAAGAGATATTAATTGCCAATTCTATAATATAATAAAAAAAATCTTTTAGATATCAATGAAGCACATTATATAAAGTGTATACCTACCTTCATTTTAAAACTAGGCATTAAATTCTGAATAACGAATGATTAGTTTTTAATTCCATTAGTGTATATATAATAAACTATCCACATTATTTATTTATACTTTTATATTTTTAAATTTTAAAAAAGCATTTTAAGTAAGTATCAAAGTATACATAAAAAAAAATAATTATTTTTAGTCAAAATATGTAAAAAAAGCCAAATCGGTGTTGGCATGAAAACATTTTTGATTTATTAAAAAAGGCGAATTATTAATACAAATACAATTTTATACTTATAATTTATTATGATCATATAAAATCAAAATATACTATACGTTTATTATAATATAGAAATTAAATTAATTTTCAAAAATTTTAGCCAAAAGTCCTACCAAATCTAATAATTTTACTAAAAAATATATCAAATTAGGAAAATTAATTTCATTATATTATTTCATACTATATATTACTTTGTTTCAATGACTAAGGTGTTAAAAGGTTGAATTAAAAAAAAAACTAAATATTCAACTGAAATATAATATAGACATATATATAAGAAAGTTGTAAAAATTTGGTTTTCAAGTTCTGTGTATGATTATTTATTAAAGTAGAGTTCTGAAACTTTTCTCTAAAAAATCACTTTTCGAATGGTCATTAAAAAAGTCTACCTACTAATATAACTTATTAAAACATTAATTTGATTTAGGTTTAAAGAAGTCAAGTTTTTTTGAAACATAATATATGATAAAAAAAAAAATCGATGTGATTTTAAGACCCTATGTTAGTGATTGGATTTTCAAAAAAATATATGTTTGACGAGCAAAGTGTCTAAAATATTGTCAATAAAAATTTCACTATAATTCATCCAGTTCTTAAAAATTGATATCAATATAAGGTATAAAAACATACAAATATTGTGCGTTTTATAACAACTGTAAATCTTTTTAACATTTCTCTTTATAACGGAGAATGGAATTTTTTAAAAATATAGCCAAAATCATATCACGAAAATCATTATTTGTTAAACTTTGGGAAACGTTTACATATAGAAGACAAATCGTCCAGATAATTTTTTTAACTTATGCTATGTAACATTATGAAAAAATAAGTTGAAAAGGTTAATTTTTTCAAGTTGTTATTTTAAACCCCCCCTGTGGTAAGGTTAAGGGTTATATATACAAAAATATGTATACTTTATAAAAAAATATTGTTTTTGATTCGTACCTTTTCAATAAATTATAAAGTTTTAAGTAAAAAAGGTTTTAAAAATGTTGAAATTTATCGATTTTAAAAATCGTAATTTTTTAGAGGATTTACCCCATTTACACGGAAAAAGAGAAATATTTTTAATATCTGAGAGTAATGTTTTCGACCAGATAAGATTTATCTTTTGACGTATCTTTGAGAAAAATGGGTCTAGTGAAGTAGTGACACAAAGAAATAAAGAAAGAAAGAAAATCACTTTATTGTAAAATTAATACCATCTTAGCTTCGCATCGATGGTAAAGTAAAATAAAATAAACATATATTGAAAAATATTTTACCTTTTCTCTTTTGCAATGAAGAAAAAATCTATATCTAAAAATTTGTTTTTAAATTTAGTAAATATTTTACAACAGATCAATGAATTTAAATAAATTAAAAATTAATGAATAATATAGCTAAACAAGGTAACAGTATAAAAATAAAATAGTTTTATTGAAAGTAAAACTTCTAAACTGTAAAAAAAAAAGCAACGAAAATATGTAGTGGATCAAAAATTATTAAAGATATTAAAACTGAAGGGTCGCTTTGTACATATAAAATTATTATATACATTACAATACATACTATATTTTTTTTATAAAATAAAAAAATCTTTCTCTTATTGTTAATAAAATTTAATGTAATTAATTGTATGTTAAATATACTAAATATAAAAGACTAAATGGCTTTTAACTCTAAAAATGATTGGTCCAGAATAAACGTAATCAGTGTACAAAAGTATTGCACTGTTAAAAATTATCAGTAAAAAGCAATCTGTAATAATATTCTATTATTTGCAAGGTTTATAATAGTGCCACCGTGATTATTGGATTTTAATATATTATTTTGTAATTTTTGTTATAAATATTGGATAAAAAAACCTATACTGATTAATTCGACAACGCATAAGCGCAGTTTGAATAAATCGTAATAAAGGATTTATTAGTATCACGCATCCATATTCGATTAGATCATATATATATATATATTAACACGATAATATCAAGTATGATATGACGTCTTTATAACATCACTAAAATTATATAGAATTACTGTAGATAAATATATCTGTTTTAAAGTGTTATATATTTCTAATTATATTACTTTGGTAACATATAATATGCATTTATCTATTTATTTTCACTTCTGTTACAATGTTTAAATGCGGTATAATTTATTATAAAATACTACACCTTATTTTTTCCATAAATAGTTTTTTTTTTATAAAAATGTAAAGATTAAAATTTGATTTATTTCTTTGAACAATAGTAAATTTTTAGTTTATTATTTAAAATTAAAAATATGTTTAAATAATATTAGCTCAAGTGATCAATTCTATTATATCAAATTTGTTCTACGGAAAAATGTTTTCTAAGGGTACATTTTAAGAGTAACTATTGAATGTTAAACGAGAATCTACAATTACTTTTTTACTATTGAATGGGGGAAATGTATTATGTAATGAAATTATGACTGGCCAATATCCACTTTTGTATTATTTATTTTTAATTAATATAATTTTTTAATTCAAATTAGTAATTAAAGCTTTAATTTTTTATTAATACTCTACATACTTATCTTTCTGGTTAGTTTCCTATGTTTAGATTCGTATTTTACAGAATATAAAAACCCAGCACAGGGGGGTCGCGGCACAGTGGTGACGTGGCATAGTTGGATCAAGTAAATGATATCTGACAGTGATTAAAATCACTATCAAAAATAAACGCTTCGATGCAAATCTTTAGATAGTGTTTAATTTTAAAAAAATTGGTGTTTTATTCCAAAAGCTACTTGATCTGCTGGTTCCTTATTAATATCTCGATTAAGATAAAGTATGTCGAATGAAAAAGGGTTTATTAAAAAATATTATTTGTCATAAAAAAATTGTGTGGATCCATAAACTTTTCAATAAGTTATAGCATTATAAAGTTAAATATAATATAAATAATAAAATCGAGAATTTTCAAACGAAAAAAGCATTTGGTAGCCATTTTCGCCGTGAAGACAAGTCCAGAGTTCAAATTTTTTTTTTTCAAATTAAAGTATATTACATTAGCTTTAATTTAAGATATATATAAAAGTGTCAGACCTTCCGGAACATTTTCAAAA